ACCTACAAACTCTGCTGAGAAGCAGCCTACCTTTCCTCTGACCTCCAAAGATAAGATAAGCAGAGTTCCTCTTATCTTAAGAGGAAAAAGAAAACACTTCCACACCCTAATCCTACCTGCTTCCCCCTCCCTGATTCCACACCCTAAAGCCCCCATATGTAAAGTCCCAGCTCACAACCCGTGGACATCCTTCCTGGACATCTTTCCTTCCCTGACATCCTTCCCTTCCTTCTCTTCCCCCTTCCCCCTTCCCTTCCCTTCTCTTCCCTTCCATCTTTCCCTTCGTGGACATCTTTCCCTTCCCGAGGGAAAGGTGCCCCATACGAAATAAATCTGTGTCCCACTGAGGATTCCATCTGAGCCTCCGTGCCTCATCCATCCACTCGTGCCTCCTCCATCTGCGCCGCTCGCTCCCGCCCATTCTCTACCTATCAGTACATACACCCAAAGAATTTTCTCAGCCCCGATCCTGCGTTCTGGAGCTTCCAGGTCACCGAGGAGCTGTGAGACCCTCAGCCCCCGCCCCTTCCCCACTCCAAGGACGACCAGCAAGTTCTTCAGTGGAATATTTGTTCTCAGTGCCTCCTCGTGCGCTCCGGGCACAGGGGGCCCTCAGATTCCGGCAGCTCTCGCTGCGCCTATTTCATGCAGTTACACACCGTACTCAACCGTACTTTGATATTTGGACAGTCCTGGTGGAAAAGGCAGACTCAGGGCATTTGTCTGTTTTTGGAGATCGAATGTCAATAGAACTCTTCCAAGCTTTCAAGGAGCAGCTAAAGCTGTGCTGTTGTGGGAATTTTGGCAAACGGCAATTAGAGATGCCAGCTGTGGTTACTGGTCCACCATCATGAAAGGCAGGCTGCGGGTGTTTGCAGCTCATTCCGATTTACACTGGGAGACAGCCATTTACACTGGGAGACACTTTGTGAATTTTCACCTGCTCTTTCTGTTTTGTTTTGTTTTGTTGAGACAGGGGGCTCCATTATATAGCCCAGGCTGGCCTCAGACTCACAGTGACCCCTGCCTCTGGGATTAAGGGCAGGTGCCACCATGCTGGGCCTTCCTGGCCTACTCTTTCCATGTCTCACCTCTCTCTAGAATGCCCGGGTACTTCTGCACAAATCTGAATGCAGGTCAGCTGTTTGGTAGTTAGTAAATAAGGTCTGTTTTCAGAGCTTCAACTAAGGTCTGGCTTTGTTCATCTTTTTGTTAATAGCAGTCCAAGTAAGTAGTAGCTTTGGTGACATCAGCTGTGAAGGGAAAAGTGGACATGGCAGAAGAGGGAAGGACCACGTGTCCCTGGTCATTTCACAGGCACTGTTTGCATTTCCCAGCTAGCTTTTCAGAGCCAGAGGCTTGGCTGGCTGGGCTACCCTTGACCATGTCTCTGTGGTGGCTCTTCTGCAGTTTTCAATAGTCCTGGTAGTGACACTTGAGACCACAGCCACCTTTGAACATACCATTAAGGATTTGGAATAAAGTGAGAAGAGAAACAAAACTGATTTTGAAGATGGCTCTCTCTCCCAGTCTCTATCTACACTGTGTGTGACACTGATGTGATGTTAGACTATGATTTAGTACAACTCATTTTCTAATATTGGAAGTATCACATAAGGTTAATGACACACTCACTCTATAACCCAGAAATTAAACTATCTCCCATAGAAAAAGTGAAGAGGAGACATGCATCAAAAAAGGCTTGTACAAGTATGTTCATATCAATCAAAGAAATTTACCCCTTATATGCTGGACATTCAATTTTTTTCCTGTATTAGCATTGCCTTTGCTATAGCATTTGTGAAAACAAAGAGTTCTTATAAACCAGGAAACACTGTGTATTAAGATCATCCTTATTATGCAGGGTGTGGTGCTGCACAAATGTAATCACAGCCTGGGGGCCAGACATCAGGGTCAGAGTTGAAGGTGAGACTGGGTGCATAGTGAAATCCTGTTGCAAGAAATAGGGCTAGGCATGTATAGTCCAGTGGTAGAGTGTCTGCCCAGCATGTGCAGTGTCCTGAGTTTAATCCCCCAGAGGTGAAAAATAGGAAATGCACCTATATTTTCTTTTACAGAAGTTAAGCACTATTGGGCCTGAGGCAGGCAAGCTAAATAACCTCAGACTCTACTTGGATTGGGTTTGTGCACACTCCCCTCTTCTAGTAATGTACTTGACGGCCTAGTTCCTGCATGTACTAAGCACACATCCCTGTCTGAGAATGCTCCTAAAAACCTCCAATCCCCAACTGAATTGGGCTCCTCTCTCTGGACAATGGGATAGGTTTCTCCTCCCCTAACAACAATCAGACTTAAGACAGTTTCTATTCAAATATATTCCCAATATATCAGTATAAGGAATGAAAAGGCTGATCTGGCCTGAATTTGTTTGGAGTGCATGCACAATAAGGCAAAACTGTCTTTATGTAAACTCTTAGGGAGAATCCCCTATTCCCCATCTTGTGCTTATATGCATAATTGGGTATCCATATGATTAAACTCAGATGTATTATGGGAAGGAACATACATAGTAAGGAAAATGAATATGTAACTTTTTAAAAAAATCTTTTGAGACAAAGTCTCCCTGTAGCTCCAACTGGCCTGGAACTCACTATGTAAACCAGGCTAGCCTTGAACTCCCAGAGATCCGTCTGTCTCTGCCTCTAGAGTGTAGGCATTAAAGGTGTGTGCCACCATGCCCAGAATGAATATGTAACTTAATCTATCAGTCAACATAGAGAACCACCCTCAGTGTGTCCCTTAGTAACCAAACTCCTCCCCTTGAACCCCATAGAAGAAACTCCAAACAATAATCAGGGTCTTTGAGTACCCTCACTCATGTGGCTGCTGTCAATCTTGACAGTGTGTCCTTTTCTAATCTATACTATTACTTTGCTTTGAATAGTTATCTTTCAATCTTGCAAGTCTGTGTGAGCCCTTATTTCTTTTTACAAATATTTATTATTTTCATTTTATGTGTATGAGTGTAGTGCTTGCATGTGTGTAAGTGCACCCATGTCTTGGGATGCCCAAGGAGGTCAGAAAAGGGCGTCAGATCCACTGGAACTGGGGATATGGATGGTTGTTAGCTGCCATGTGTGTGCTAGGAATCGAACCTGGGTCCTCTGCAAGAGCAGCTAGTGCTCTTAATCGCTGACCCATCTCTCCAGGCCATGAGCCTGTATTTCAGTCTTTGGAATAAGACACCAAGATTTTGGGAACACCCAGCCTGGACCACTAGTAATAAGCCCATAAGATTTTTTTTTTTTTTTTTAACCAAATATTGGGAAGACCAGATGGAACATGGTTCTTATTGCCTCACAGTCAAATATTGGGAAATGAGACCTTTCTCAAGATAATCAGCAATCAAAGCTGGGTGTGGGAGCTCATGTCTGTCATCCCAGCAGTCAGGAAGCTGAGGCAAGAAGATCAGGAGTTCCAGGCCAGTTTCAGCTACATAGTAAGTCTGGGGTCCCCTGGGCTACATGAGATCCTGTCAAACACAAACGAATGACAATCAGCATCAAAAGAGGCAAACAGATTAAATTAGCTCTTATGAAACTCATAACAAGGAAAGGATACCAACCACCACCCAACAGAGATTGCTTCTTTAAAACATCAGAACCAAGAACCCACAGTGATGTGTGGGAGAAAACAGTGATGTAAAAAGGACAGAAAAGATAATGTTCAGTGTCCACAGTTAGTATATAAAAGCTGAAGAGCACTAATACTGCCCTCAGGATTTAATGGGGAAGGTCTTGTGGGGCGGCCAGTCATAGCTGCAAGAGTCCAGGTCTGTACAAATTGGACCCAAGCGGGGACTGGACTGCAAGGTGACTTAGCTCAAACACAACCTCTGTTGCATTTTTCGTGTACCTTCAGATCAAAACACAGGAGATCAAGCAGTTAGAGAAAACAACAACAACAACCGGGGATTTCTAGACTTTTTAGAAACACACAATTTCTTATTTTGGAAGCCCTTAAAAATAGGGGAAAGCGCGAACGCAGCCCCCCACTACCACAAATTTTGCAGTCGAGTTTCCCGCACTTGGGGAAATCGCAAGGGTCAGCACATCCTGAGTGCAACGGATGGGCCTCACCCTGGGAAAACCACCTTCCTGATCATGGTATCTCCCCTGCCAGGTAAGTATGCTTTTCTTGTACCACAGCCCCGACACACACCCTTGCTCCCTCCACTCTCAACACATGGTTACCCACCTGCACGCACTCTGGGACTTCCTCGTCCTCACACGCGCCTCCCGCGCCCCCTGCCGCCCACGGCCGCGCACTTTCTGCCAGCCACGCGAAATGTCTCGAGTTTCAGCAGCTGCTCTGGACGCCGTAGCCCCTCCGCGCCCATCATCTGCGTAGGACACGCCCCTTACGTGACGTCAGGGACCCGCTACTGCGCCACTGTAATGTTTGTAGCCTGCATTAAACAGGTGCTGATAGGAAACCATACCCAAGATAATTTTTTTTTCTTAATTATGAAGTATAACAAGTGTGCAGACTTGCGTCAGGTTTTCACTGCATTTGAATGCATCTTGTATTTGTCGATGTCATATTAATTCACAAAAATAAATATAAAGAAGAAACTTTAAATAGAATTTGTGAAACATGTATCCACATCAAGGGGCCTGGTGGCACACGCCTTTAATCCCAGCACTCTCTGTCGGTGGGAGGGGGGAAGAGGAAGGTGCAGAGGCAGGAGGATCTCTGTGAGATCGAGGTCAGCCTGGTTTACATAGCAAGTTCCAGGCCAGCTGAGGCTACAGAGGAGACTGTCTCAAAAAAGAAGTGAATGGAATGGGCATGGTGGAGCACGCCAGGATCCCCTGTATCCTCAGCTGACCTGGAACTCACTATGTAGACCTCGAACTCACAGAGATCTGCCTGTCTCTGCCTCCCAAGTGCTGGGATTAAAGGCATGTACCACCACACCTGGCCAAAAAACAAATTTTTAAAGGAGCAGCTAAGTTCTATTAACACTGAGACTTATACAGGGTTGTTGTAGCTCCTGTGACTTGTGATCACATGGTGGTAGCTGTTCTAGACTGTGTCCCCAGGAACCTTTGTTTGAATTCCAGTCAAGATATTGTGGTGTTTCTTTCCTTCAACTCAAAAAATATTTTACATCAATTAATTAACTAATGGGGGACATGTGCGTGTTGAGGTCCTATTTTCTTTCCTCTTACAATGTATAAATTCCATTTATTTTTAAAGCTTTTCCAGTGGTATAGCTAGCTTTAAACGTCTAGCATTACCTTGGGTGTATAGTGGCACATGCCTTTAATCCCAGCACCTGGGAGGCAAAGGCAGGATCTCTGTAAGTTTGAGGCCAGCCTGGTCTACATAGTTACATAGTGAGATTCAGCCAGGGCTACATAGTGAGACCCTATCTAAAAAAGAAAAAAAAGGCTGAAGAGAACACTGGCTGCATGTTCTTGCAGCGGACCTGGGTTCAGTTCCAGCCCCCTCATGTTGGCTAACAACTGTCCATAACCCCAGTTCCAGGGGAGCCAATGCCTTCTGGCTTCCCCACATGGGTGTACTTACACACATGCAGGCAAAACACTTATACACACAAAATAAAAATAAATCTTTCACTTTTCCAGTGGTTGACATATTGTTTGTAATATCTACTCACAACTCATCTAAGCCAACCTTTTCTTTGCAGTGGTGGTGATTAAATCCAAGGCCTTTGGCATCCTAGGCAGGTACTTTATTACTGAGCAATACCCCTTGCTCTGACTGTGTATTTAAACCTTTACTATTTTTTGACAGAATTTCCAATATCAAACTGTAAATTAAATATTCTTGCTTCTAACTAATTTTGAGGCTTTCCATAGGGCCCATGGACTATTTTTTTAAATGTGTTTTCTTTCCTTAGAAAATTCATGTGTGGCCTGCTCTACCCTGGGAACCAGCTACTACTACTGCATGCTGGCTCCTTGCTCTGGCTGAGACCCAGGCCCAGGCCATGGTAGGGGGATGCCCCCACCTCAGCTCTGCGATACCAGTCATTCTGCCCCACATGGGACACCTATGTCTACAGCAGCTGCTATTGTGAAGAAAATATTTGGTAGCTCTGTGAATACAACAAAACCCACGACCTACCTTTGGAAGAGGGTTGCTCTGCCTCCATATCAAATGAGAAGGAAGATGAGGAAGATGATAAATTGGTACCTATTTGGAAACAGCAAGCAAGACCTGGGAATGGACCTCTGTGATCTGGGAAATTTAGAGTGATCTATACTGATTCCTATTTGAAGAACTTTGCTTCTGACCAGTCTCACATGAAAGATTCCAGTGGGAACTGGAGAGAGCCTCCTTCAGCATATCCCTAAGTTGAAACAGGAGACTCCAAAATGAACCTGAATGACTTCATCAGCATGGACTCTGAAGTCGGATGGGGAACTGCCTACACACTCTTTGAGTTTTTACATTGGTTTAGCAGCAAAACCTGCTGAACTTGATGCCATAATGTGGAGCTGGAGAATGTAAACAAACCATCCTTCTATTTAGGACGGCAGCATGGTATATTGTCTGAGGGGTATATTTTTCTCTTTAAATTTGAGTGGAAACATTAATGGACACAGATATAAATGTAAAACCTTTTGTGATATTGGGGAATCTACCACCAAGTTATATCCCCAACTGCCCCAAAAAGGCTCTGGCTTCAGTCCCCAGCACCAGACATACACATAGATAAAATAAAAAGTTTTCTTATCAATACATTACAGTGTGTAGTTGCTAAGATAGTCCTATGGCTTATTTGTTAGGACATGTGATGACTTACACTGTTGGAGACCTCTGTTATGCAAAGTAGAAGCCCCTTCACGACCGGACAGCTCATGCAGCTCGGGATCATGTGCTGCGGGCTCCTTTCACAAGCAGGGTGTCTTCCTGGCATTTTTCCTGTCTCTCCTTTTGAAGTGTCCGCCACAAATGCCATAACATAAACATGGCCTTAGTCTGGCAGAAACCCACTTCCATATGTAAATAGAATGCCTCACAAAGCATCTAACAGCCAAAGCTTTTACCACTACCCCCATGGTATAAATGCCTTAGTCTTCTCTTAATGGTCAGAGAATTGGGCTGCAGAGAGCTGGGTCTCAGAGAATAAAGCTGTAACACAGACTAAGCCAAGTCTTGAGTCCTGTGTCACTACCGGCGGCCCAATCTCTCTGGGGGGCAGCACTCCCTCGTGACCGACTCGTGGACATTCTAGCTTTCGCTGTCTCCGTACTTCTCCCGTGGGGTTCAGTGGCCAGTGGACCTCGCATCCTGAGGAAAAGTACACGGGTGGATTAGGGACAGGATTCGGCAGGACAACGCTTCTGCAGCAGAGAAGCTCCAGAGACACGGGACCCAAGCCGCTGGGAAAAGCCTGCAGGGCACCAGCCGCCAGGCCAGAGACACCTGTAACCAGACCTGCCAGCGACTAGTCAGGTGTGGCGGGGGAGTGCCATTCTGGGAGTGCGCCCAGAGAGAGCGCGCATGCCCCATATTATACCAGTGGATGCTCTTATTAAGATAGAACTGTGGGCGGGGAGACCCTGTCTCAAAAAGACCACAAAAGAAAAAGAAATAAAGAAGTGTGGGCTTAGAGCCAGCTCCTTTTGTCTGTTCTTGATGTCTCCTGTCTTTCTGGCTATACTGTAAGCTTCTTCAGAGCAGCACCATGGCCTGTGGCTCTGAGAATCGCTATTGTCCATAAGAGGTGCCCAGTAAAACATTTCTAGAGACAACACTGCTACTTGGAAAGGGACAATATTGTGAGTGGAATCAGTCATAAGTATTAACCGTTTTGGGCTATAATGTTGTTTTAACAGCTGCACATATTGGGGTTGGAGAGATGGCTCAGCAGTTAAGAGCACTTGCTGCTCTTGCAAAGGACCCAGGCTTGATTCCCAGCACCCACATGATGACTAACAACCATCAGTAACTCCAGTTCCAGGGAATCCAACATTTTCTTCTGACCTCCGTGGGCATTGCACAACATGGGTGCACTTACATACATGCAAGCAATATACTCATACACAAAAAATTTAAAAAATAATTGCTGGGCGTGGTGGCACACACCTTTAATCCCAGCACTTGGGAGGCAGAGGCAGGTGGATCTCTGTGAGTTCGAGGCCAGCCTGGTCTACATAGTGAGTTCCAGGCCTGCTGGGGCTACAGGAAAACCCTGTCTCAAAAAGACCAAAATAAATAAATAAGTAATTGCATATATATATATATATATATATATATATAGTTCTAAATAAAACTGACTTAAAAATTAAAAAAAAAAATCCATGTTTGATGGTGCGTACTTTTGAATGCCACTGCACATGTGTGAAAGTCAAAAGACAACTTTCAGAAGTCAGTTCTTTTGTGGAGGCAAGGTCTCTTGTTATTTCTGTTCCAGGCTAGCTGGCTCAGGACCTTTTGCCTGCCAATAGTATTGCTGGGATGACAGATGCAGGCCACCACGTCTGGTTTTTTTTTTGTGTGTGTGTATTATTGAGACAGGGTCTCCCTGTAGTCCCAGCTGGTCTGGAACTCTCTGTGTAGACCAGGCTGGCCTTGAACTCACAGAGATCTACATGCCTCTGCCTCCCAAGTGCTGGGATTAAAGGTGTGTACCACAATGTCCAGCCCCACATCTGGCTTTTTAACATGGGTTCCAGGAATTGAACTCATTTTGTCAGACTTGTGTGGCAAGTGCTTTTATCAGGTGAACCATTGCCCTGGTCCCCTACAGAACCTTTCATATACAAAATTATTTGTAGTTTAAAGCAATTTGATAAAATATACCTTAGTCAGCAGAGATGAAACAATTACTTTTTCTCCCTACATATACCCAGAATTTAGAAACCATTCATAGTAGCTCTTACTTCCTTGGCAATAGTCATTATATTTCCCTAAGTTCAGCAGGAATCTGTTCTTGTAATAGGACATCAAGGGCTGTTGAGTTGGCTCAGTGGATAAAGGTGCTTGCCCATAAAGCCTGATAACCTGAATTCCAACTCTAGAACCTACACAGTGGAAGGAAAAAATTGACTTCTTCAAGTTGTCTTCTGACCTCCACACACGTCCTGTGGCACATATGTGCACACACAAATAAATAACTGTAACAGAACATATTGGAAATGTTTCCATTTAT